CTGGAGATACTAAAAGAACTGCTTACGAACCTAAGAAATAGTTCTGAGAGAAGGATTGTGGCCTTAAGTCACTTTTCTTGCCTATAAGCATTATAATTTCTTTAATAGATTCAATTTTTGGTACTACTCTTTAGCCCATATTTTTATTTTTTCGCCTTGATTCTTTCTGAAAATCTAGAGAGGGGGCAGCTGCCTGGCTTACCCCACCTTATGGTAGCAATTATAGTGGCCTATTTTAAGATGGAAACTAATATTCCGGTATTTGCGTGGAGGGAAGGATCCACCTGAGCTGAGATTATTACAAAGAGCGTATTTCTGCCAAGTTCTAAATCCCCTCTCTCTGCTCTCGCGGCGTCCTCTTTCAAGTTACCGTCTTTAGTTTCGTACACTTTTAAACAAAAGCAGAGATATGCCCCATCAAGTACACACCAGTCAAAATTCGGTCTTTGCTGTGTCTTATCTCAGACTTCCTCATGAAGGATGAAGCAGCATAGGAAGATCTCAGTGTTACCAACGCACGTTGCGAACTATTCATCTATGGCTCTATAACCCTTTTGTTGGGCCTAGGCAGCTTTTTCAGTTTCTTAATCCTATACACAGACGGTAGGACTCCTTGGACGAGGGAGCAGCCCGTCGCAAGGCCGTTGCCTACACAGAACAGTACGAACACAGAATAAACTCCACAAGACATCAATGCCTTGAGTGGATTCGAACCCAGGAGCCCAGCGTTAGAGCAAGCGAAGACAGTTCACGCCTTAGACCGCACGGCTACTGTGATCGCCACTTTGCGAACTGTAGTTAAATATCAAATTTTAATTATCCTCGAATACAGATTGAAACATTTATTTGATAGAATTTCTCGAAATCGGGAAAATTATAATCTGATTCTGAGTGTATCTCTTTTAATAAATGTCAATATCTTGTCTACTCTATTCAGATGAGCTAAATACAATTCGATAATTAAGTTATCGATCTCTCGGTATCTGTGCGAACGCTTCTGCAGAGAAACGAGGGCCGCTCCTCTCCGTGCAGGCGAACGATGATGTAGGCAGTCCAAGAGGACTCAGAGAAAATAACAAATTACGTCAGAATTTTGTAGACGCACTGCGAAATGCAGACGGCCACACAAAGAGGCAGTACCCATAGTGTCTTATATTATGTGAACCATCTGCCTGCTTCGATGAAAATATTCAAGAAACAAGCTGAAGAAATGTGTCTATTTATTTAAAGGCACCAAACGAACCTCACTAGTTATACAGTGTCAAATGTCACAATTTTTTCTGAAGAGGAATTGAGGAGGATATTTAAAATAATTGTCGAAATTATGAACTGAGAAAAATTTTGAAGAAAGTGTCGTGTCTGGCTTTAAGGCACCTTTAAAAAATTGACTAAGGAAAGTTAATAAAACTACAAAAATCATAACAGAAGATATTGTCACGTGTCACAGTGACTAAGACACTATCGCCTTGCTTGCTTATTCGCGTGCTTCTGCCGCTACTATTCGCAACTTGTAACTGCTTTACTTACACAGCCGAGGAACGGACATGGGCCTACAGTAAACAGATATCACGTGATCGCTATCCAGCCAGCCTATTGGGGCGTCGATCGGAACTACAGAAAACATATTTAACGTGATCACTATCCACTGTTGTGACGTCAACGTGGACACGAAAAACACGACTTCCTCTATTTTTTTTTGTGACCTAACAACGGACTGTTTACCAAGAACCTGTCTTCGTGGGAACTTGTTCACCAACGTGTTGCCTAGCAATGGGTCTACATGTATCAATATAAAAGCCGAGATTCGAATCTAAGGTCTTTCTAATTCGAAGTAATGGCGAGTATCGTTATATCGTTACGATCAGTAAGAAGCAAAGAACAAAGAAATTAAGAATTCGGCTGATCAGTTCTTCAAGACGTGGTTTCTATGCGTGAATTGAAGTTTATATTCAAGCCTACACCCCGAAATATGAGACTAAAATACATATGAAGGTGTTATAATCCAAACGAGAGTAACTTATTCCTGTTAGATATTCCGCGCTTATTGGACGGTGCGTATTTTAAGTCTACTCTACTGCGCGCTTATCGGACGGTGCTCATTTTAAGTCTGCTCTACTGCGCGCTTATTGGACGGTGCGCATTTTAAGTCTGCTCTACTGCGTGCTT